AGCGGCATCCAAGGGCCATTTTTCGCCCATCTCAAGATCGCATCGAGCTTGAGCCTCGTCTAATACTCCTTCGCTTCCCTGTTACTAGGACGGAGGGGTTCGTTCATGAAGAACACTAGATGAGTAAAAAGAAAAGAAAAATGTATGTTGGATTTGTTTGGCTACTTCTAGATGCTTTCGCTCTAATGTAATATATATTTTTTCTATCTAATATCAAATGATGTTAAGGGGAAGCAAAAGCTTTATGAAGTTAATATGCAGTCTTCTAGCCTACCCCGTAGGTTGATGTGGTTGGCTGGACTAAGCCGCCCAAGAATCACATAAAGATCAATGTGGACGCTTCTTTTATTGCAGGCACGGGATCGGCTGGGCTAGGAGCGGTTGGCAGGGATTGTTTTGGTGATATTGTCTTCTCAGCGGCTTCCTATTTTCATGGATGCTCGGATGCAGAGGAAGCTGAAGTCTAGGTCCTATCTTTTGGCCTCAACCAGGATCGTAAACTGAATTTGAACAATGCAGATGGAGACCGATTGCATCGCAGTAGTGGCCGTTGTGAATGATTGTAATGTTAGCAGGGGCAGCTCGTGGGCTTGCTATGATAACTCTAAGGATATTAAGGAGGGTGGAGTTTGTTCTGTTTCCAAAGTCCATAGGAAGAGCAATGTGGTTGCGCATGAGCTTGCTGCCCATGCTAGAGTGAATGGGGATTTCTTTGTGTTAGTTGATGTGCCACAAGCTTAGAAACATGTAATTGCTTCCGATTGTAACCCAGGTTTATTGATATAAATGAAGCTCTCCCTTTCCTCAAAAAAAATATTTCTTTTCTATCCTACCTACTGTTTTCTAGAGCCCTCTAGTTGTGAGTAGCTATGAGTAGAATGGTGAATCTTAAATAATGTTTTCTAGAGTGTTCCAGCTATAAGTAGGAGTATGTGAAGGCTTCCAAGAGCCCTATAAATAGAGGCCCTCACCTCTATTTTATATCCAGACTATGTACCCCCACTATCTGTAATAGAACTTGGTGTTTTTATCTAAGATCTTGGAGTAGATCTTGTGCTATAGGAGTTTTGGATTGAACTCCTCCTGTCATATCGGCCTACATTTGCCTCTAGAGCGATATCTATCACAAGACGTTGAAGTAGTTCCTTCAACTTTAGTATTGTACACTTTGTACAAGGCGGAGTCGCTCCTCCACAACCTTGTGCTGCTTCAGGTGGCATCAAAGCCTCGTTGATCCATAGAAGTTCTTGTTGTTCTCTTTGAGAGCAAGCTGCAGCAAGCAATGAAGCAATTGGAGAAGAGATAGATGATGCAGAAGAACAAATCAAAGAGTTGCATGGATGCTCGGATGCTTCCTATCTTCATGGATGCTCAGATGTAGAGGAAGCTGAAGTCCAGGTCCTATCTTTTGGCCTCAACCAGGATCGTAAACTGAATTTGAACAAAGTGCAGATGGAGACCGATTGCATGGCAGTAGTGGCCGCTGTGAATGATTGTAATGTTAGTAGGGGCAGCTCGTGGGCTTGCTGTGATAACTCTAAGGATATTAAGGAGGTTGGAGTTTGTTCTGTTTCCAAAGTCCATAGGGGGAGCAATGTGGTCGCGCATGAGCTTGCTGCCCATGCTAGGGTGAATGGGGATTTCTTTGTGTTAGTTGATGTGCCACAAGCTTAGAAACATGTAATTGCTTCCGTTTGTAACCCAGGTATATTGATATAAATGAAGCTCTCCCTTTCCTCAAAAAAATATTTCTTTTCTATCCTACCTACTGTTTTCTAGAGCCCTCTATTGTGAGTAGCTATGAGTAGAATGGTGAATCTTAATTAATGTTTTCTAGAGTGTTCCAGCTATAAGTAGGAGTATGTGAAGGCTTCCAAGAGCCCTATAAATAGAGGCCCTCACCTCTACTTTATATCCAGACTATGTACCCCCACTATCTGTAATAGAACTTGGTGTTTTTATCTAAGATCTTGGAGTAGATATTGTGCTATAGGAGTATTGGATTGAACTCCTCCTACCATATCGGCCTACATTTGCCTCTAGAGCGATATCTACCACAAGACGTTGAAGTAGTCCCTTCAACTCTAGTGTTGTACACTTTGTACCAACAAGGCGGAGTCGCTCCTCCACAACCTTGTGCTGCTTTCAGGTGGTATCAAAGCCTCGTTGATCCATACAAGTTCTTGTTGTTCTCTTTGAGAGCAAGCTGCAGCAAGCAATGAAGCAATTGGAGAAGAGATAGATGCTGCAGAAGAACAAATCAAAGAGTTGCATGAAGATCTTAATCGGAGATTTGACCGACTGATTGAGATGATAAGATGATAAGAAAGAGTGTCCCCCTACTACCAATGAAGGAGATTCATCTAAAGAAAAATAAGATGTTCAACAAAGAAGGAGAGGTAATCTTGGAGCAAGACCGCCATAACAACGTGTTGTTCAACGTACTTCAAGAAGGCCGATCTATATTGAAGCTTTTGAAGGTGAAGAATATGATGATGCCCTTGAAGAACTTAGTCTCTATGCATATCGAAAAGTACCCAACTCTACATATGCAAGGGATACATACAAGGTGAAAGCTGATATCCCAACTTTTAATGGAAATGTTGACATTGAAGGGTGCCTTGATTGGTTATATGAAGTGGAGACTTTCTTTGAGGTCATGGAGGTTTTGGAAGATCGTAGAGTTCCTTTGGTCGCGCACAAGCTGAAAGGATCGCGTGCAAGAAGAGCACAGGCTGAGAGAAGAACCTTGTATGAGAACTTGGCGGCAAATGAAAAGTCTTTCGAAAGGGAGATTTTAACCCATTGATTATGACAAGACCTATTTATCTAATTCCAAAATTTCCCCCAAGAAAATATGACCATTTCAGATTACACGGAGGAGTTTCTGAGGCTACAAGTGAGGCGCAACCTTGCCGAAACTGAAGATTAACACGTTCCAAGGTACATCTATCAATGGTCTCAGTGATGCTATTCAAGATCTTTCGATTGATAATGCAACAAATATGATCCATTGATCAAGCACAAGCCCTAGCATTAAAGGCCGAGAGGTTTGTGAGGACAAGAAAGACAACTAAGTCTCCATATCCTCATATCGAAAGCTCGTCTAAGGATCACACTAATAGAGTGGAAGAAAAGACCGCTCCACCAAAGACAAAATGACCCATCCCAAAGCAAACTAGACGCAAGGGTAAGGAAAATGAAGGCCCAAAGTGTTATAAATGCGGTAAAGTGGGACACATCCAGCGGTTGCCCCACTAAGAAAATGTGTTTGGCGTCCACCAAGCTTAGCGTCAAGGAGAGGGGAGGAGCGGTGGCCTTCCTAGGACCCGAGCGGCGGCGACCTATCGTGCACTACTCTTCCTCACTGCTGGCGGCACCCTTGGACGTCCCGGGTTCATGGTCATGGTGGCGGGACCCGGCCTCAACGGAGCTAACAATGTCCTCCTCCTCGTCGGTGTCGCCGAACAGAGCCTCGCTCGCGTCGCCACTTGGCTTTGTAGGCGGCCGCCACCTTGGCCACCTGCCGGTGGTATCGCTAGTGGACGAGGCAGATGTCGCGGGTGGTGCGGTAGGAGTCGAGCAACGCCTCTTGCTTCGTCGGGTCCATGTTTGACATGATCACCCTACCTGCGGCAATCTGCTACTCCGCCTGCAGATGCTTCTGGGGAGGTTGTGGTTGTAGTTGGCGTCCACCTGCGCCTCCCGGAACTACTCCTCCTACTCCGCTCGCACCCCCATATAATGGGCACGAGCATCGCCGATGGTCATGGTGCAATGGACCGACGAGGGTGGCGCTGTCTCGTCGTCGGAGGCGTCCTCCATTTGCACGCCGTCGTCCTCCTCCGGCTGCCTACCAGCCTGCCAGTCGACAACAATGACGACCATCTCCTTCTTCTGCTCCGACGTCAGCCCGT